GACCTATACTCAGTTTTACCAACTATAAAAAAAATAGGACAAGCCGTTTCATTTAACAGTGACACGGGTATGTTTTTATAGTATTATTCTTTATAGAAAGGATTTAATACACGCACGTCCCTTATGTTCATATATCTAACATTTTAGATTATTATTAAAGTTAACTTTTAAAATATAAAACATCTTACTTGGATCTCTGATGAGATGGATTCCTATAATTAATCTTCGATATTCACTTTTCGTTAAATTTGTGACACATGTGTTGGCTACCTGTGGAAATTAAAAATCATACTAATAAATAAATTATTGTATTAGGATATTAATTCTCAGAAGTTAAACGAAGTAATAACAGTTCATTAAGGAATTTAATTTAAGTATATATAAATTAATTTATACTTGACTATCGTCATAGCTGTTTAAATCAATATTTTTAGGCAGTACAACCGAATCAGGAACGATATCATCCTATACGGTCTATTTGTCTTTTGTAACCATAAAGAAACTTATTCAAATCTCTATACATACAAAATTTTACAACATTGGTCCTGCCGTTTTGAGCAAATTAGAATACAAACACACATACAATAGAATTATATTCTATTGTATGTGTGTTTGTATTCTAAATAATAAAACTTTTTACTGCACATTGAAAAAATAATTACAAAAAGAACACTATAAATGTTTAATAAAGAAATAAACTAATAAAGGCGTCCTTATAATCTCTCTTAGATGTCTTTAAGAGATTGTTGTACATATGTTAAGATAGATAAACATTTTGTATTGAAAACGATAGTGAAATATGATTAAAACAATGGTAATAAATAGCTTTACCTGTGATAGTGCTAAATCAGCCATAACTTGCTTCACTTTGGACGATTTCAAATAACCTGAAATCTACAATATTTTATTAATAAGCATGCCTATAGTATTATGACATGTTATATAGGTATCACATGATAAAGTAATGCCGGTAGTGCTGTTTATATATATAGGCGATAGTAACCAATAAACATTAGCTATTTTTTGGGACTAGTTCAAGCTTAGTGGTCTAGCAGACCGCCTTACTTCCGCTGGTGGCGGATACCGGTACCTATAATATAAGCTATACTTAACTTGGAACTAGATGGTCCTGTATTCACACAGGTTGATCTAGTCCCAGGGGAATGACACAAAAAGCAAAACAAAAGGAAACACTGCTCTACGCGGAGTCGTAACGTGGACTGACTACACAGAACTTAGTAACACAGGAGATTTGTTTACAATGTAGGGGTGCCGAGTGTTGACAGAAATATTAGAAACTAGCTGTGCCTGCGGTTTCACCCGCGTGTAGTTTATAAAGTTTTATCAAAATCTGTTCAGTAGTTTTTGCGTAAAAGAGGAACAAACATCCATCCATACCCAAAAACTTTCGCATTTATAATATTAATTAAGTAGGTACAACTTTATTGGCAATTGTTATTAATACCTTACTGAGCGATAATGAGAGAGTCTGTTGCACACTCAGACCGGGTAACAGGCGTGTGGAGTGTCGCACCAGCGCGCAGGTGTTATTAAACTGTTCCTCCTCTAGTGGCACGCCTTCCAGTAGGATGTGGCCCTTGGATGGTACACGGCGGGCAATCACGTCCAGGAGAGCCCTTTTACCACTGCCTAGAACGGTTATTTCATTGTTAAATACACTCGTATTTAAGAACTATGAATCCATATTTCATAGAATACGCAGTACAAAAAATTATAAGTATAATAGGATAAATATACCTTATACATAGAATAAATATCAGTAAAATTTATAACTAATAGAACTATCTATATATTTCACATTCTATTATGATCTTTAGTCATGAAAACAAACAAGCAGCTACGTTTGCATTTATAATATTAATATTAATACAAAATAATGAGAGCAGATTTCCAATTCATCCTTAGGTATCTATATTTTGTGAGTTTTTATAGTCCAGAAAATGCTTACAATTTATCCTATTTAAACTGAAGTAAATAAGTTTGGTAATCCAATAATCGTAGATTTATACCATGTATATTTATATTTATACCATATATACCTACCATATGTAGGTATATGGACAAATTAATTATCAGGGTAATAATTAATTTGTGCATATACATATGGTTAATATACCTTTAGAGCCCAGTATAGCAGTGACCTCTCCGCTGTGTGTGATAAACGAAACATCTTTCAGGATAACTCCCGTCTTCACAGCACCAGTCAACCGCTGAAAAAAACTGCCGGGCTCCACCTAATAAAGAGATATACTGGTTTAATATTGTTTTTTAGATTATAATACTAAATATTCAGAACATTACAATTTTTAACGAGTACAAAGCCGTCGTATACTTCGTTGTCGTTTTGTAAAACAAATTTTTGTTACAACCAGCCAGTTGTATCACTGCCGAAATATAGGGAACTCAATAATAATAAATAAAACGTAGTAAGATCCCGTGAGTTTCAAAGTTGTAAGTATAAAGAATGACTGAGTCAAATATAAAAAAGTATATACCGGTTTATTTTTTACTGTAATTAAATATAAGCAATATGAATATTATACTTAGTTTAGTTTTTAAACACCATAATTTGACTAATTATAATTAATTAATAAATTTGATTAAATTGTATATCAGTACCGATATTATATTTTTTTATTCAAAGTCTATATATTCATTGTTTTATGGTATAATTTATCAATTTTCAGCTTTGTGAGGTTTGGAACTAGATGGCGCTGTCATATATCGAGGATAGGTATTCAAAGCTTTGCGCGCTTGATTTGAAGAAAAGTTTTATGTTTATGCGCATGATATTACGGCATAAATTTACAATTCAATCGATTCATCTGTTTATGAGTTATTGAATAATAAACATTCAAATATCGAATAATCATTACTAACTTTCTTGTTATTGAAAGTTCCTACTTATTTTTATGAGAGCAAAGCTTCGTCTGTTATTCTTAAAGAAACGACGTAACTATTTCACTGTCTCATCAATAAATAATAAACTCATATAATTAAAAAAATTAAGTAACCCGGAACAAAAGCTAGGAACCATCACGTACACGACATCAAAAACCGCATCATAATCGGTACATTCCTTTAAGAGCTACGGTGCAGATATACATTATTATACATACACGCCAAACTTACGAGTATTTATTAATTTAAATATTCTAATTTCTCTTCAAAGGTGTTTTAATTTAAGTCATTCTAGATCAAAAGTTATTTTAATATCTTATAAGATATATTAAGCCAACACTATATTATTGAAATAATACCTATAATATAAGTAAAACTATAATTTAACTTAATATATATATTCATATTTTCTACGAATGGAACACAATGACCCCAATGAAATAGTTCTTATCTATAAAAGCTCTGTCCATAGAAAAGATTTCAACGAGAGAGCTCAAGTATTTTTACTAACTTAGTCGGTAAGTTCTTGTACGAATCAGTACCAATTTGCATTTCTTACTTCGATTACGTACTAGGTATATGTAGCCACTATATTTTTTTATATTATTATGTATCTTCATTCCATTTATTATACATCTGATACTTAAATATATCAAAAATAAATTAAACGCAGCTAATTTGGAGTTTTAAGTATAATCAAGTGACCGTTTTATTGCAGCCTACAGTTGTTAGAAGGCAATGTAAACAATGTATAGACGATTACTACTTACCTGTCCAGAATGAAATACGTTGCACAATTCCAATGTATAATCACTGCCGATCATTTTCCTACTTTCTCTTGTTCAAATTAAACTGATGTTAAATAAATTATATATTATATATGCAAATAAAATGCATTTCCAAGTGACACAGCCACTCTCCAGTTGCACAAACTCACACTAACACAATACAGATAACAACACACTTCACACCATAATAGCAACGTTGCCACATTTACTAACGACTAACTTCATGTTGTTAACTGTACTTAATTTTTAAAACAATATACCGTAAAGCCATTTTAGCTAATACTGCAGTAATCAAAAGGTTCAAAATTCTATTATAGGCTAAATAAGATGCCGATTAATGAGAAGTTCTTCATAAATAAAAAAAATATAAATTGGTGATGCTGGTAGGAAGAGTGATGAGATAATAAATATAACAAGTTAGTATTTGTAATGCTTTAGACAAAATACTAACACACAATAATAAAACACATTAGCACTTAATTGAATAGAAATTTTACAACTTTTAACACTGTACTTATTTCAACTACTATATTTATTAATAGTTCGAAAAACATTTACAAGATGTACCTATTCCGGCAATGGCTCATTAACGAATACATCATTTTGGAACGTGCAGCCATTAGATAACTTTTGTCAATTGAGTGGCCATTAACATGTTAGTATTTTTTAAATCAATTTTCAAAATTAATTACCACCATATCCTCGGAGAGCCCGTCTTAATTTTATGGACATCTCATAAAAATAAGTCATGTTTTTCATAAATACTAAATAAGTACTTAGTAGAAATAAAAATTGTAAATACAAGATTTTTTGTATCAGCCAAATTTGAATTCACAACCTTGTGTGTAACAACATATAATTTTAGTTTAATACAGACCTCGTCTAGTCTATAATTTTATACTGTTGACTAATTAAGTATTATGTTAGCATTTATTTATACATTTCATACAAATAGTACATTATCTCCAAGACCTAAATGGTATGTGAATTATTGGAACGCAATTATATGACGGTGGAAAAAAATGTGTAATGTATTAAGCTTCCCCTTAACGATGAAAGCCTCATTTTTCCACATTTTCTATACACTGTTGCCAGATATACTCACCGTGAACCTTTCAAAGGCTAAATATTCTCTCCGTCTCTTTTACACTCATCATGAAATCTGCTTTGAGAATGAGATGTACTGCACACTTAGTAATCGTAAATTCCAATGATTAGTCATCTCGTTCTGGCAAGTCGTTCAAATTACCTGCAGAAAGAGAAAGGAGAACATGCGCAGTGTCACTGACTGTTCACTTGGGCTCTGTATGGCCGTTTGAAGTAAACTACTGCGTTCCACCAGTGTAGCGACTAGCCCCACAGTTTGAGAACGATTTATTGATGAAAACGAACGAAAACAGACGACTAATGAACTGAACTGTACAAAAAATTTATCTCAACTGATGTCCATGTGTTTTTAGTGAGCAAATTTATTCGTTTCAGTGATCAGTGTTGAGTGTTTAGATGAATTTGTGAGTGACACTCGGGAGTCCCGTTGGCCGGTATTCTATCAAGTAAGTGATACTGGATATTCTTGTATTTGTGTAGGTGGTTTAGAAATGTAAACTAGACCATTTAATATTTATGTTATAGATATTATAATTTTAAATAGATGTATATTATGTAGTTACAAACTTGTGTTTTACGTATTACGACAATTTATCAAATTGTGCTTTAAAATACAGCTCTATTTTTCAAATAGCTATGCAGTTACCCAATTAGCTTGCTAGCTGATCATTCCAAAATATGTAGTTTATATAAAGCTTATTGTAGTTTAATGAACTGCTTATGAGACAAAATAATTTTCCAGTTAAAATTGTTAATAATGTTATGAATGTAATTATGTTTAACAGATCGTGACAACATCTCATGTAAACTGTAACATTACTGTTTCTTATCAATTTGAATCAAATTATATATCCATATAAGTATATAACGATATATATATATTGTGGTCGACATCTTTGAAAAAAATATATTGTTAGACGATAAAAAAAACGTTTGAAAATATAATCAGCGAACCGAACCGAAACAGCAAAAGCAGGATAATAGCCACAGTTTTGTTTCTTAACTGAAGACTTAAGCGATATTCATACATATCTAACAATTGTAGAGACTATATTTACCTATTTGTAAATTCAAAAATTTACGATTACATATAGGTATGCAAAAACTGTTAAATAATTATTAAAAGTGTCCACCAATTTATATAGTATATATGTAGTTGGTTTTGTATGGTGACTAATTTTAAAAATAAATACCAGTGTCCTAATAAATACATGTTTCTTTCTAAAGCTTCTAGATAAAAAAATGGCTAGTTAATTTTTAATTTTGTAGGTACCACTCGACTACCACTCATTAAAGGGTTTTCAGATGACGAAGGTCACCGCCAAAAGAAGTTATGATTAAAAAATACTGTAAACAATTCAACAACATACCTAAGGTTTCTTAAAGCCACAATCTGATTTATCAACAATTATAAATTATAATCTGATCTAATATTATTTAATATTTAATCTACAAGCAATAAAAAAAAGGTCAGCGTGTCCTTAAAAGGGGAATATATATAAACCCGCAATAAGGTTTCGCTCCATAAATCGGTGTGACTAATCTTTATACGAAGCGATTATTTCTACGAAGCTACTATGCCAAACACTTTTATGAATACTCCGGCTTTATCTCGGATAACCTTTACTTTGTTTGGAAACTGTTTTAATCTCAGCCTTATGGTGGATATAAAATATTTATTATCTAACCTAAATAAAATCTAGTAATAAATTGCAGTGTATCTTATTAGAAACTATAAAATTAAAATATGAGCAACATATATAAAGTAAAGAAAGTGATAATTAATATTGGAAGTGAAATTTAATGGACATCGGTAGCTTATTTAATGGGCGTATTAAACTTGTTGTCTATTACTTTCAATTCAACAAAATAAGCCGCTAAAATATAAAATCATCAAATTTGTAAGATTTCACATCAGACGTAAATGAATTCTTGATCTGATTGACAAAAAGACGAATAACAAAAGACAAAACGTCGACAGAGGTTAACAATATAAGTAATATATGAAACATGAAAGCTTAAGAAGACGATAAATCATTACCTGGGAAGTAGCGATTGGACCTATGTACCGGTCACACCATATCCTGACCTTTGTCTAACGGCGACTCTACTACGAAGTGCTGACTCACACCAAGATTTACCACAGAGCGCATTTCAACTTGCGGGTTGCAAACTCGAATTGAACAGTTGTTTTGGAACATAGAATTAATATAATGTCTAGCTACAGTTATTATTTACAGTTTACTGTATCAACACATCCGTATCTAGTTTGCTGTACGTCTGGCATTTGACTCAGACCGTATTTTTTTTTATTGATGATAAGATTGGTCAAATGTAGTCGATTTAAATAGACATCTGTATTGTAATATATATAGGTACCTATGGTAATTTTATAATTAGTCAGTTAGGAGTCGCCTTAGACATACTAAAATAGCGGATTTTTTGAGGAAAGTAAGTTTTTTTAGAACCTTTTTGTAAATTTGTTGCATTGTTTGAAAGATACATTATTCCGTAATGATATAATCGATGTATCGGTAATATTTACAAAAGAAATAAGGTAATGAACATTCGGGAGACTACTACTAGTTGATTAATAAGATGTGTTCAATAATCATTCTAACTTGGAAACAACCGATTTATGTCAGTCTGACTTTGACCTTCAAGATGTATTATCTGGTAATTAGAGTCAATTTAAATTCATACATTTTTGTTCTACTAACTTATTCTACGGTCTGTTTACACTATCGCGGGCTTGATTATAAAACCTAATTAAATGTGGATGATTCCAGTACACGGTATTTAAAATTGCACATACATACATTTTTGAGTTGTGTTTAATTTATTTCTTTCCTTTTGTTTTCTTCTTATTACCAATCAGTTTATTTAAATCTGTGTTTAAATCAAATAATGCATGATGACTATACGGGCATGAGTTTAACTCAGTTAGTCCATCTTGGTGAATTCACCAGGAATTTATCACTATATTTTCCAGATCAACCGCGTCAACCTGACATGTTATACTGCAAATAATTACAATCCTCTTCCCCAATCGACCAAGTATTTTCTGTGCCTAAATGAATTTTAAGTATTGCATTGTAAGGCCACAGCGTGGAAAATATTTACGGTGCTTCACCTTGTCTTGAGAAGTTCTTGGAGCAATGAACTTTGAGCTCTTGTGGTCATATATTCACTTTGTGAACTGTGCCACACAGGTTATGCGGACTTAGGTGAACTGGGAAATAAAACTTCGCCGTTCTTAGTGACAATGACCGTTAGTGAGAAAATAGTTTGTCTAATATACATAATTCAAATTCAAATTCAAATTCAAAAATCATTTATTCATGTAGGACATTTTAGCCGCTTATGAACGTCAAATTTTTACATTATAATTTTATTTTTTTCCCTACCGTCCAGTTCGGTATATAGTCCATTGAGAAGAACTGGCAATCATTGAATTACTTTTTTTTTTTAAAATGCGATTTACAATGTATATTTATATAGGTGTCTATGTCTAACATTAAATGAAAATTCAGTGCATGAACAACTATTGCCATGCACACTCGTCATTCAAGTAATCGTTTAGTGAGTAATAGGCTTTGCTCAAAATATGATTTAATAGATGTTTTGAATTTATTTAAGGAATTCCAACATATCCTTTGGTATCTTATTGTAAATTTTTATACCTATTCCCATAAAAGACCTATTAACTTTTTCTAAACGATACTTGGGGACAGCAAGTTTGTCTTTAAATCTTGTATTAATATTATGAATATTGCTGTTTTTTGGAAATAAGTCAATCATTTTTATGAACATATATATATATTTGAATATATAAATTGAGAAGCAACGGTGAGAATATTTGCCTCTTTGAATTTCTCTCTTAATGAGTCACGACTCTTCATACAGTAGATCGCTCGAACGGCACGTTTTTGTAATATGAATATATTTTTAATATCTGCCGCTTTTCCCCATAGTAATATTCCATAAGAGAGTAAACTATGAAAATAACTAAAATAGACTAATCTAGCAGTATCAGTATCAGTGTACTGTCTAACCTTACGCAAAAAGCTGCTGAACTTAGTTTCGCTGCAAGGCTTTGAATTTTGCACCCCATTGTGTTTTATTATCTAGTGTGATTCCTTTTCTATAAATTCGAGATTCGTCATTTAATTTAATATTGCAATTAGTATTAAAACTTTTAGACAGAGAGAAATTAACATATTTTGTTTTTTTAGCGTTTAACATAAGATTGTTAGTTGTAAACCAGTGAGAGACGCCGCAAAGCACTATTTACATCGTCATAATTATTAGTTTCTATTAACTTTAAAAATCAATGAAGTATCGTCTGAAAATAATACTATGCCGCATCTATCCTGCATGGCATATGGGAGATCATTAATGTAAACTAGGAATAAAAATGGACCGAGAATAGATCCTTGAGGTACACCCATTTGCACAAGTGACCCGTCAGACGTAGCGTTGCTAACCTTCACTTTCTGTATTCTATCAGATAGATAAGATTTTATTAAATTTAAAGCATTGTCTTTGACGCCATAAAAAGCAAGTTTTTTAGCAATGTATTATGATCAACGCAATCAAAAGCCTTAGAAAGATCACAAAAAACACCTATCGCATCCATTTTAGTTTCCCATGCAGCAAATACGTGTCTAAGCAACTCTGCACCTGCGTCTGTAGTTGAACGACCTTTGGAAAAACCGAATTGACTATTGTGGATTAAATTATTTAAATTGAAATAACTGACAAGCTGCATAAGGATTATTTTTTCAAAAATTTTACTGAGTGCTGGGAGTATAGATATAGGTCTATAATTTATTGGGTCATCCTATCTCCAGATTTAAAAAGCGGTATGATTTTACTAATTTTCATTATGTTAGGAAATTTACCTTCATCTATACATTTATTGAAAATAAAAGCAAGAGAGGGCGCAATAATTTCCATTATACTATCTAGTATTTTAACAGATATACCCCATAGATCCTCTGTTTTTTTATTATTAAGCTGTTTGAATATTTTCATTATTTCTACTGATGATGTATGTCTAAAGTTAAATACAGCTGATGACTTGCTAACATTGTCTGTTAGTAAAGTTTCAGCAGCAGACGGGAAGATTTTAGAGCCTGTGTCGTAATTAATGGAATATTAGTGAAATAAGATTCAATGTATCCGCGACCTCTGTGTCGGAATTTACCACTTTGTTATTACTATTTCAAGCTATTTTACTATATTGAAAATTAACTTTTCCAGTTTCGCTATTTATTACTTTCCAAGTGGCTTTTATTTTATCTTTAGATTTAGTTATTATTTTACCTAAATAGAGAGACTTAGCTGTATGACAAACCTTTTTAAATATTTTCGAATAAGATTTTACATGTTCATGAAATAAGGGATCGGATATATAGCTTCGTTTTTCGTAAAGTTCGTAAAG